GGAACATGAATTGCGAGCATAATCTCAGAAAATGAAAATTATTTTCATTATCATTGAGGCGTGAATTTGGCAACAGTTGGTTGTGTTAGCATGTTTCATGGAGATACAAAACATGAAACTAGGGTTGTTTTTATTTTGAAGCATTATACTCGACTCACTGAGAAAGAGTGAAATACTTTACACGAGCACTCAAAGGAAAAAGGAAAATACTGAACGGTAAGTACGCCAAGATGGGAAACGAAACTTACCATTGCAATGACGCAGGAAAATGGAGCTCATCACTGCAACGACGTGGAAAATGAAACACACAAAGCAACGTGACAAAATGAAAGTGAAAGCAATCAAGGAGCCGGATTTGCGTATAGCGCGAAATGAAAGCGTGCAATTTTCAAATCACTGACATGTGGAGTTCCGTAACAAACACAATCTCAATGTAAAAAATGACCTTAGATGGTATTTGTTTAGAGCAAGTCTTGGTCTCTTCACGTGTCACTAATTTGGATTTCCATGATGAATTGTGCGCATGAGATTTGACACATCTGCATGATGTTTTGCAAATGTTATGAGTGTACCACGAAGAAGCCCTGGTCACAGTAAGAAATAAGATGAAAATGAAACAAATTTAGAAACCTCTGAAACCACGCTAGTGAAATGAGATGTGGAATTGTGAACATTAAGCAAGGTTTTGTTGATTCCAGATGAAAAATGTATCCGTTGACTTATTTTTATCCCTACCCTTGTGGTCTGCCGAATGTCGAGTCTTTTATAAGCCATTTGTTAGTTAATATTCGGTTGAAAACAAAACTTCTTCAGTTTTATTAGTTTTAATCGATGACACTCAGGCTGGATGGATTAAAAAATTTTGGTTTCGATGGCGCGCTAAAAAAGGGGATAATTTCCACCCGGTTATTTGGAATTCAGTGGGTGAACATAACGGCGGATAATATGGGGCACCATGCTAAACGCGATCAAAGAGCTATTCTGTTGGCAACCTGATGACTATTACTACATCAAAACCAATGAAATGAATAAATGATAAGTATTTGAGTAAATAAGAACCTTATAGAGACCTGGTCTAAACTCAGCCCCCAACCAAATTCAACGGTTGTTGAATTTG